GAAGCCGCTCAGCCTCCAACTTGGTTGCCAAATGACTTTGGACGCAATCAGACCAAGTCTTGAGTGAACGCTCCCACTTCAGCAACACATGGACATGCATCTTTTTCACTGTTTGGGGGCGACGGCGGGAGCATAAACAACGTGTCGATCTTATTGTTTGCCGCTCTTATGGCACAATTTGGATTGGGATTCAATGAGTTCACTCATAAGGCAAACTGCAAAAAAGGCCCGGTGCATGTGTGTGTGCGCTTGTGTTTGGAGATACAAATCAAAGCTCGTCACAGCGCAGTGACGGGTCTGCGAGACTTTGTGCCTGAGCTTTCTGGCAATTTGATCGAAAAAAAACAACAAGGCAAGTGCGCTGGATTAATTTCCTGTGTGTGCATTCGCACGCGCGTTGGAGGAAAAGCCAATCAGGTGAGGTTATTTCTCTTTCTTCATTTCTGTTCTGTTGACTTTAGCCGACGCTGCCGCTGCTTCATTAGCAAGCAGAGATAAGCGAGCCAGGCCTCATTTTACACCTGCCGTGAAAAAAAAAAAAAAAAAAACCTTCTCAGTGTGCACGCGTGTAACTGCTCACGCAGGAAGGCGGCGAGTGATGTCGCAAAGCATGCTGGGAATTTCTTCAAAGCCGGAAAGAAGAAGGGGGGGTGGCGTCAGGCGGTTGCCGTGGCAACGTTCACCTTTGAACCTCCACCTGCACGACTTGCAAACGTGCTGAAACGTCCCCGAATATTCCCACGTCGTCTTTGGCCAATCAACTCGTCTGCAAGTCGGCGCCTCAGTCATGGGGCACAAGTGGACGCCGAAATGGTGGCTGGACATCATCATCATCATCATCATCACGATGTGCCTCCTCCTCCTCCTCCTGGGCAATCGGCCCCCATCAGGGACTTGCCCCCCTTCCGCGTCCCACACCCGGTACGACTCTCGCAGGTGCGACACGAGGTTCACACCCAGTGCGGGCCCCGGAATGGCCCTCGCCTGACTATTGTTTAAGGAGGGTTGTGGGGGCGGCTACTCCCAGTCAGCCTCCGTTCCGTCGGGGCGAGCGCTGGACGTCTCACCTTCTGGCGAGAGCCCACCTCCTTCCCCGCCGGCTGGTGGGCATTTAGCCGCAGCAGGGGCCCAAGTGCCCCGGCATTCCCCCCTCGCGCCACCTGGAGGCATCCCACCACGAGAGGTCTTTTGGTTTTTCGCATTTGGATCCAGAGGAAGGTCGGGAACCTAACAAGTGGCAACGAGTAAACAACCTGTTGTTTCACACCTTAATTCTATTCTGTTGAGTGAAAACAAGTCCAAAGAATGTGACCGAGCTCATCAGAGCATAGTCATGAAAGAACATGTCTTGTTTTTTTTAATTGCTGCCCATTGTCACTTCGAAAAGGGCAAAAGCTGTCAACACCCAAAACACACCCTCTTCCACTTGACTAGGATCCAACTCGCCTCGGTGAAGGCGTTCCTAACAGCGGGCCGGCGCTACGGCGAGAGCATAAATAACGTGCCGAGCTTATTGTTTGCCGCTCTTATGACCCAGTTTGGATTGGGATTCTCTTGGATGCTGGTTCCGAATGGGAACCCTCACCTGCCAATTAAAATGCCGACCCCCGATTCCAATCAAGTGGGGACAAATCAAAACGGAAGACTGTCAATCGATTTGCAAAGTCATTTTCTGTCAGAGTTACCAATTCGACATTCATAATAAAGACCCAATGAGGAGGGAAGACACGAGGGGGGAACGAGGACAAGCCTGAGGTTGAGCGCACCGGTCGTTGACGCTTTTGTCATCAATTTCGCCCGTCGGCATTTTGCACACCTTTGCGAGCCTCGAGAGATTTCCGACGTCAGTCATCAACATGACGCCGGTTTGCCCACCAAAGGGACATGGCTTTCCGTGTCACTGAGGCTGAAGACCGAACCCCCACCGGCCACCCCAAGAAGCTCGCATTCCAAACTCGGGTGACACTCAACAGGAGCAAAGTACAAGTCGCAAACAGACAACTTGAGCAACTTGCACTCTCGTGTGGATGCAATTTGGAGAAGAAGTTGACGAGTTATTGCAAAAGTCTTTCTTATTGTTCGTGTCTGATGATGTTCTTCAACGTGCATTATCCTTGCATCTTGTCTCCAGATCTTCTTGATTGAAACGGGGAGGGGGTGGCAAGCCCCCGAGGCAGCCACGTGAGACTGCGAGAGAGCCCCGGCTTGAATTTGCGGCCTCTAAAAGCGGACGCCATTGCCTTTTCACACTCTTTTCTTTTTGTCTCTCTTTGTTGCTTTTTTTTTTCCTCTGGCTGGACATCAGCCTTCTTCTGGCCAGCACGTGCCCGCGGCTAGGCGCGATCTCGGGCACCCTCCTTTTTCCCTAGTTGGCACGTTTCTCATCTTTCAAGAAGCTTTTTCTTTCGCGTTTGGCAGCCCACCCGGCGCTATACGGTCTCGCGGGTTTCCTCGCAAGGACCAAGCCATGGGTTTTAATCTGGCCCGTGCTCTGTTACCAAGCCGCCAAACTTGTCGGCCGCATACGAGGCGCCCGGAGCTCCCTCCAGTGGACCTCCAAAGAGGGCCGTGATTTTCAACAGCCAGGTGCAGCGCGCCCGCTCGTCCTTTGCGTGACGCGGCAGCTGCTTTTTCCTTCTTCTTTTTGCCATTTTTAAAATGTTTTCTGCTCCAACTGCAGTGTTTTTTTTTTTTTTTTAATCTAGAGAGCTGTTTATTTTGCATTTCATTGTAAAAGTTAGTTGTTTACATTTCCTTGCAGCATCATTGTGGTTTGCGGGTGTTCTTGCTGGGCATCATTGAGCTGCGCCCACAAATTAACCTTGCGCGCTTTCGTTTTCTTTCAACTCCTGCTTCCTCATACAACTCAAGTGAAGTGTCGGCGCGCGTGCCAATTTCCGTCTTGGCACCATTGCCAAGCTGTCTTGAACTTCAGCTGTAATTACACGGAGCGCTGAGAAGTCGTTCGCCACAAGACACATTGTACAAAGTAAATGATGCAAAGAACTGAATTGGTGGAATTAATCCGCCAATTCTCAAAGGACACGATGCAGACAGTCAGCCGAATGGAATGCGAGGCTGCCTCGGAGGCCAACCTGGGCCGCGTTTGGCCCGCGGGCCACATCCCACCTGCCCGCAGTCTCTGCTTGGCCCTCGCGGTCTCCTTCAAGTCACCCCAAAAAAGCTTCAAATCCGCTCTCTTTTTGCCGTGCAAGTTTTGCCTTCTGCACACGCGTGCGGACGGTGGTCCAAGCAGAGCAGCGGGCAAGATTGAGAGCTTGGCCTGCGGTGTTGGCAACTTAGCCCCGCTTTTGCAGGCGGCCTTTCGACTTTTTGCTGCTTCTTCAGTCATGGCCGAGCGGCGGCTTGACGGCTGTCCGACTTGCGCTGGGGTTGCTTTCGCTCATGCAGCCCACCAGGCTTGTCACCATGGCAACGAGGTCACGTTTTCGGCGGACACAGACTTGCGCCTCCGCTCCTATGATCACACCAACGCAGTGCGCAACCCTGCCCATGGACGCCGGACCCCCGTCCCTTCCTCTATTATGGTGCACCTGCACACAGGATGTGGTGGCAGCCCGATCGATGATTGCGACGCCTGCCCTCTGTCATGGGTTGAACAAACTCGCCTCGGAAGCATTTCAATGGGATATTTCTGGAGTGCGGATTTCACTTATTGCAGTGGTGGTCTGGAACGTAAAGCCCGCCCATTTTGTTTTTTTTTGGTCAAAGACATACGCTGTCCCTGTACAGCATATGTCAAGTCTAACGACATTGATCTTGATGCTCGCTCAGGGATGATTTAACTCAAGTGGAGAGAATGAAAATAAGGGTGGGGCTTGAGCCGTAATCCTTTGCAAGCAGTTCCACGTTGCAGGTGGGCTCTCGATCGATGTTGCCTGAAATAAATGCACTTCAAATCTAGCCTTGAAAGCCAAGGTGTATTTTGTGGGTGCGGAATCGTGACCAACTCGATGGCTTTCTTCAGACGCAAGGGCCGCCATTTGGAACGGCGGCCTTTCGACTTGTTCCTGCTTCTTCAGTCATGGCCGAGCGGCGGCTTGACATCTGTCCGACTTGCGCTGGGGTTGCTTTCGCTCATGCTTTGTTTGGATTTTTTTCCCCAATCACCGGTTTACTTAAAAATAGAATTTGTCCTTTTTTTATGATGCATGTTGAAAATAAAAAATAGTAAAAATGAAATGACCACGCGAAAAATAATGAGGAAAAAGTGGATAAAAATAAAGTAGGCAGGAAGTGTCCAACATTCTTCTGGCACATTGTGCAGTCTCGTCTGAGTAAACTTGCTTTCCCAACTCAGCTTGTAGATGCCACGCTTGAAATCTATGGTGGGATTTTTGTGTGCGTGTGTGTGTCTTTATGTGTATGTGTGTGTGTGTGTGTGTGTGTTTGGGTAATGGAAAACAAGCCGAAGCTGGTCACAGCGCAGTGACGGCTGAGCACGACTTCATGCCTGAGCTTTCCGGCAATTTGATCGGAAAAAAAAAAAAAAAAACAAGGCAAGTGCGCTGGATTAATTTCCTGTGTGCCTGCGCGCACGCATCTTCGAGGAAGAGCCAATCAGGTGAGGTCATTCTTCATTTCTGTTCTGTTGACTTTAGCCGACGCTGTCGCTGCTTCATTAGCGAGCAGAGATAAGCGAGCCAGGCCTCGTTTAACACCTGCCGTGGAAAAAAAATAATAATAATAATTTTCTGTGTGCGCGAGTGGAACTGCTCATGCCAGGTGGTTGTCCCGTAAAGCGCCGCCGTGGGCTCGGGTCCAGGCGCAGGAAGGCGGTGAGTGACGTCGCAAAGCATGCTGGGAATTTCTTCAAAGCTGGAAAGAAGAATTGGGGGGAGGGTGGCGTCAGACGGTCGCCGTGGCAACGTTTACCTTTGAAGCCCCACCTGCACAACTTGCGAACGTGGTGAAACGTCCCCGAATATTCCCACGTCGTCTTTGGCCAATCAACTCGTCTGCAAGTCGGCGCCTCAGTCATGGGGCACAAGTGGACGCCGAGATGGTGGCTGGACATCATCATCATCATCATCATCATCATCATCATCATCATCACGATGTGCATCGTCGTAATCTTCTTCACCCTGCTCCTCATCACACCTGAAGAACAAGACGAAAAGAGGCAAAACCTTCAGACGGCCATCCTCACGACTGTGGATTGGACGAGGACTTCACACGGAACTCGAGTTCCAAAAAGTGATCTGGTGCGTGTGCCCCAACGAGTCGAAGCACGCGAATCCCATCAAGACTGAGTTTGTGGCATCGGAATGAAGAAGATGAATCTAGACCGTTTCGGCCACACAAGGTGGCTGACATTTGAGGCACCAGCGCCCCCTGCCGTCGACTGAAAATGACATCAAAGTGCCCACAGGCACTCCAGGTAAGCTGTGACCCCCCCTCCCAAAATAAACACCTGGGTTTCTGCATCACTATTTAGGATGGGAAAAGAACACCTGTGTGCGTGCGTTTGGGCGCGTGTGTGTGAGGAGTGTTTGCTTTCCCGGCAATGATGGGAAAAGAACACATGCGTGTGCGTGAGGTACTTTGACCCATCAAGGGCCGCCACTCTGACCACACGCCTCCCCCGTGCAGGCGCATCGATATAAATGGCGCTGCGGCGGCGTGCGGAACAGTCGACGGCAAGTCAGGTTGCCGGGCGACGTCAAGCGAAGCCGAAGTCAGCAACCGGTGACACGGGAAAGGCTCCGAAGCACCGATATGAGCCGCGGCCAGTTTGCGTGGCGGCGCCCGCGGTGACCGTCCAAGAGCTGCGACCGCAGCGTCCGCCGGCACCGATGGCGGCAGAGTGGCAGAGCGGCAACACGAGCGCGTCGTGGAACGCGTCGACG